GTTCTCAGAGCTCTCTCAGCCCCACCTGCCTCACGAGGTGACTGTTGTGGGTAGAGGAAGGGAAGGCGATTCTAAGCCACTTTGATACTCCTTAGGGTAGAGAAAAGCGGGGTATAAAAGCAATTCTTCTTCATTCCTTAATATTAGGGAACATAGAAGAAAAAGAAGAAGAAGAAGAAGAAGAAGAAGAAGAAGAAGAAGAAGAAGAAGAAGAAGAAGAAGAAGAAGAAGAGGAGGAGGAGGAGGAGGAGGAGGAGGGGGGGGATTGGATTTTTACCCGCCCTTCACTTGGAGTCTCAGAGTGGCTTACAATCTCCTTCCCTTCCTCTCCCCTGTGAGGTAGGTGGGGCTGAGAGAGCTCTCTCGAAAACTGCTCTTGAGAGAACAGCTCTGAGAGAACTTGTGACTGACCCGAGGTCACCCAGCAGCTGCATGTGGAGGAGTGGGGAATCAAAGCCAGTTCTCCAGATTGGAGTCTGCCGCTCTTAACCACTACACCAAAATGGCTCTCTGGGAATGAAGAAGTATTATATTCTGTAGAGTAGGTTCCACACAATACTAGATGTTCTGTGAACATAAGCATTCACCTCCTAGATTTTCCAGCGCAGACAACGTGTGAATCCTACCGACATCAGACGTTGTGTCCCACTGGCCTACAGAATAGCATTTGGATCCAAGTCGAGACCCGAGTAGCTTCCACCGTCCCAAGGTATCGTTGGAAGGCAACATGATACAACCGTTTTGCTGAAGCTATACAGATCTAGGTCTTGTCAGCACCAGGATCAGAGAACTCTTGGGAAGCCCAGGTATGTTAGCTTGAGCTCACAGATGGAAGAAAAACAAGATACACATAAAAGCATAAATAAGCTATGAGGCTGCCTCAGGCTCGTAATATTTACAAAACATGTGACGGTCACGCTGCACTCCACTGCTGCAAAGATTGCAGCTTTGTGAGACGGGACCCCTCTGCTTGAAGTACCACCTATCCCTTCACGAATGCTCGGGGCAGCTCCAGCTATCCCCACGGGGTCCTCTCTTTGTCCTGGTACCTCCTGCAGCCGGCTGATTTTTGTTTTGAGCTGTAGCTACCAATCTTCATGTTTATTATTGTGTTTTAAATTTTCAACTGTATTTATTGCATTGTTTGATGATGATCCCTGCCCGGAGCCCGCCTGTGGAATGGGCGGACTATAAAAATGGGAAAATTAACAAAATAAATAAATAAAGCACCATCAAGCCGCAGCTGATTTATGGCAACCCAGCAGAGTTCCAAGAAGGAGAAGAAGAGATTGGATTCACCCCCCCCCCCTCGTCCTTCACTCAGAGTCTCAGAGCGGCTTACAAACTCCTTTCCCTTCCCCTCTCCACAACAGACACCCTGTGAGGTAGGTGGGGCTGAGAGAGCTCTGAGAGAAACTGCTCTTTCAAGAACAGCTCTGACAGAATTTATGGCTTGCCCAACGTCATCCAGCAGGTGCAAGTGGAGGAGTCGGGAAACAAACCCGGTTCTCCCAGATTAGAGTCTGCACACTTAACCACTACACCGAAGAAGAAGAGGAGGAGGAGATTAGATTTATACCCCGCCCTTCACTCGGAGTCTCAGAGCGGCTTACAAACTCCTTTCCCTTCCCCGCCCCACAACAGACACCCTGTGAGCAATGCTCCCTCTAAGCTGTGGAGTCTTGTGAGCAAAAATTCTACTTTGTGAGCTACTGGCATTAAAGTTATGAGCAGGCGATTTGGCTGCTGCATACATTATTTTGCTCTGGAGCCATCCCTTCCTGAGCGAAGACAAAAAACGTGTGAGCCGGAGGCTAAAAAACTGTGAGCTAGCTCACACTAACTCAGCTTAGAGGGAACACTGCCTGTGAGGTCGGTGGGGCTGAGAGAGCTCTGACAGAAACGGCTCTTTTTCAAGAACACCTGTGCCAGAACTATGGCTTGCCCAAGGTCATCCAGCCAGGTGCAAGTGGAGGAGTGGGGAATCAAACCCGCTTCACCCAGATTAGCGTCCACACACTTAACCACTGCACCAAACTAGCAAGAGATGTTCAGAGGTGGTTCACCATCACCCGCCTCTGTTTAGCGACCCTGGATTCCCTCACTGGTCTCCCATCCAAGTACTAAGCAGCACTGACTGTGCTTAGCTTCCCAGATCTGAGGAGATTGGACTGGCCTGGGTGCCATTGTGCAATCTTGGGCTTTTACTGAGTTAGGCCATTCACTGCTATCAAGAAGGCACCTATCCATTAATACCTTTAGAAAGAGGAATTGTTGAAGACGCGTCTTAGAGGCGTTAAACATCAACAGAGACTGGTTCTTTTTTCCTCATCACGACATTTTTAATGGTATGGGGATTGTTTTTAGGAGGAGATTGGATTTATACCCCGCCCTTCACTTGGGAGTCTCAGAGCGGCTTACAAACTCCTTTCCCTTCCCCTCCCCACAACAGACACCCTGTGAGGTGGGTGGTGCTGAGAGAACTCTGACACAAACTGCTCTTTTTCAAGGACAGCTGTGCCAGAGCTTGTGACTGACCCAAGGTCACATCAGCAGGTGCAAGTGGAGGAGTGGGGAATCAAACCCGGTTCTCCCAGATTAGAGTCCGCACACTTAACCACTACACCAAACTGGCTTTAAGTGTCTCCCTGCAAGCCGTTTTGTTAGGGGAAAACTGGAATAAAAGTATTGCAAACGAATTAATAACATTCTCATGAACTGGAAAACAGCAGTATGGGGGAAAAAAACCCGTGATAAAAAGAACTTAAATTCTTCAGACTGTACAAGCTAGAATGCTGTCATGGTTAGAATATTGCAATCCAAAGGAATAACACAGAGACCCAAAACAGTCAAGTAGGAAAACAATATATACAGACCTGTGCTAGATGCCTACAGAACAATAAAGTGTGGGTCCACTTTACTTTGGCAGCAGTTTCAGCACGCTTGGAAATAAGAGGAGGAGACCTTGCCCAAATAGATTAACATAAAAGCAAATCAATGAAAGTGTCTACTTGAATGTAAGAGTGAATGTAAGATTCCTATATAGGATTTGTTCCTGAGGAAAGACCAGAGGTCTGAAACATTTAGATATCCGGAAAAAGTGTTGACTGAAAGAGAGACACAGACTTATTGAACTTTGAGCAGACTGCTTTTGTGAATTTGAATAAGGACAACGGACTGTTTGAGGGATATAGATTGAGAGAGACTTGAGCAGACTGCTATGTGAATTTCTATTGACCTTTGTATTTTGTCTGTGATGGAATATGTTGTTAGTCTTTATTACCAGACACTAAATACGTTATGGCTTTAATATAGTATCACTTGTTGTCGTATTGTTCTGTGGGCATCTAGCACACGTCTGTTTATAGTGTTTTCATACCTGACTGTGGTTAGAATATTGGACTGGAATCTGGGAGAACTATGTTCAGGTCTTGCCTTTCCCATGAAGCTTCCTAGGTGAACTTGGATCAGATAAAGGTTCCCTTGCTCGGAAGCCAGTCGAGTCCGGCTCTAGGGTTGCGGTGCGCATCTCCATTTCAAAGCCGAAGAGCCAGCACTGTCCGAAGATGTTTCCGTGGTCATGTGGCCGACATGACTAAACACCGAGGCACACGGAACGCTGTTACCTTCCACCCGAAGTGGTACCTATTTCTCTACTTGCAATTTCTTGCTTTCGAACTGCTAGGTTGGCAGGAGCTGGAACTAGAGATGGGAGCTCACTCCATCATGCGGCACCCGGGTCTCGAACTGCTGAACTACTGACCTTCCACAGCTTGCAGTTCAGCGTCTTAACCACTTGAGCCACCGCAGCTCCTCTGAAACATTTAGATATCCGGAAAAAGTGTTGACTGAAAGAGAGACACAGACTTATTGAACTTTGAGCAGACTGCTTTTGTGAATTTGAATAAGGACAACAGACTGAGGGATATAGATTGAGAGAGACTTGAGCAGACGGCTATGTGAATTTCTATTGACCTTTGTATTTTGTCTGTGATGGAATATGTTGTTAGTCTTTATTACCAGACACTAAATACGTTATGGCTTTAATATAGTATCACTTGTTGTCGTATTGTTCTGTAGGCATCTAGCACACGTCTGTTTATAGTGTTTTCATACCTGACTGTGGTTAGAATATTGGACTGGAATCTGGGAGAACTATGTTCAGGTCTTGCCTTTCCCATGAAGCTTCCTAGGTGAACTTGGATCAGATACTCTCTACCAAATTAACCTACCTACCAAAGTTGCTATAAGGAGAAAGGAGGAGGAGGGGGAGCCGAGTATGCAACACTCAGCTCCTTGGAGGGCAGCCGGAATATAAACATACCAGATAGACAGACTTCCCCCATCTCACGGGGATGTGTTCCAAAGTTCAGCGTTTGTCGCAGGACATGACAAGTGAGCAAGACTGGACACAAACCCGCGTAATGCTGCTGGAAATGGCAGATTTCCTACCGAGCTGGGTCAGCGTATCATTTGCAAAGGGAGAAGAGTGGCAAAGCCAGGACGGCGCTGAACAAGGGCATATTTGACAAATCGGCCCAATAAAGAGAAAGATGTCAAACCACAATAAAACAGTTTAGAGCTCTGGAAATGGGTACCTGTGGGAACCGGGGAAAGGAGAGATTTGACAGATTTTGTTTTCTTGGCTCCTGATCAGCAGGTTAATTATAGCAACTGTTCAGTCTGCTCAAAGTCCTCCCGATAAGAGGCCAGCTGCAGCTAACGTAGCTTGGCTTACCGAGTCTCCCCCTTTCTCTCCTTAGCCCCCTGATACTCGGGAAGATAGAAACGAAAATACTCGCTCACACACGAGAAAACACCGTTTTGCATACGACAACGCCAAGCTGTTGTCATGTTGCAAATGTAGGCCGGAAGAAAAACTGTCCATTTGTGTGAGCTCACAACAAGAGGCAAGACAACTTGGGGGGAAGGGGTAAAGAGAACTTGGAGAGAGAGAATGAGTCTATCATTCGCTGCGCCCCCTTTCCATGTTTACCCACCTCCACAGCTATAACTGTAGACAGCTACCGTTGACCTTTCGACCAGATTTTCATCGTGATGCCAGCTCACGGCCATCTTTCCCATTCCAAAATAAGGCTCCTCTTTCAAGAATGGCATTTGTTGGGGATCCATATAATTTAATAACGTCAGGTTGTAGGACGATTTCTCTTTCAAATCGCTACAGTCATTCTTTGGGACGCGAGGAGGGCTTTGATCTTGTAAAGCGGATCCCGTCGCGGTAATCGAAGGAGCATAATCCGGAGGCCTATCGGTGACAGCGCAGTCTTCAGTTTCTTTTGTCTCAGTCAACTTCTGCTCTTGCAAAGCCCGGGTCGTTTCTCTGTGCATGTAGTCATTAAGTTTGATTAATGCTTTACAAGCTTGGGATATTTCTGGATGGGAATAATTTATTTCATAACTTTCCACAGTCCAGGGGACAGTAAATAACCTCGTGTTCAAATATTTGTAAGTACATCCTGGGTTTCCAATTAAAATTCGAGACACTGGGGTAAAAAAATCTTTGCCTTTGATCCTTACAAGGTCCTGGAAGAAACAGCCGAATTTTCGCAAAGTCAAAAAAGCTTCTTGAACTCCCTCATGGATATCTTTAGGTATCTTCTCGGCACTTCTGAGGAGAAGTTTGGAATATTTTCTCTTCCACTAAAAAGCAACAACAACATTTATATATTTTTTTTAAAAAAAATACTAGATATATAGTTGGATATAGATATTCATTTAATGAAACAGATGAATACTGTACCTCATACCATTCACCCCTCCCCTAAAAAAAACACATATATAGCAAAAGGTAAAGGTTCCCTTGCTCAAAAGCCAGTCGAGTCCGACTTTAGGGCTGCGGTACTCATCTCCGTTTCAAAGCCGAAGAGCCAGCGCTGTCCGAAGACGTTTCCGTGGTCATGTAGCCGGCATGAGTAAACACCAAGGTGCACGGAATGCTGTGACCTTCCCACCGAAGTGGTACCTATTTATCTACTTGCAATTTCTTGCTTTCGAACTGCTAGGTTGGCAGGAGCTGGAACTAGAGACAGGAGCTCACTCCGTCATGCGGCACACTCGGGTCTTGAACTGCTGAACTACTGACCTTCCACAGCCTGCAGTTCAGTGTCTTAACCACTTGAGCCACCGCAGTTCCTACAACATATATAGTACACAGCATGAAATTAAGTAAACTCCAGAGGACAGCGGAAGACAGGAGGGCCTGGCATAATGTGGTCCATAGGGTCGCAGAGTCGGACTCAACTGTGTGGCTGAACAACAACAAACAGCATAGTATGCAGGCATTTTGATATTGCCTTGAAATTTATACACAATACCTATCTGTCTAGTGCATTCTAACCCATCCTTCCTCCAAGGACCTCAGGATGACATACGTGGATTTCCCTTCTCCCTTTAATCTTCACAACAACCCTGTGGGGTCTGAGAGAATAAAAGCGTGACTGGTCAGAGATAACCAAATGAGTTCCATGGAAGAGTCCCACCCAGGTATCCTATATCACAGTGTGACAGGGAAGCCACTACAACCGAGTTGCCTCTATTAGGTTAGATCAAGACGGGTAGCCGTGTTAGTCTGCCTGTAGAAACAGAAAAGAGCAAGAGTCCAGTAGCACCTTGGTCAAGGTCCCCTTGCTCGAAAGCCAGTCGAATCTGACTCTAGGGTTGCGGTGCTCATCTCCGTTTCAAAGCCGAAGAGCCAGCGCTGTCCGAAGATGTTTCCGTGGTCATGTGGCCGGCATGACTAAACACCAAGGCGCACGGAACGCTGTGACCTTCCCACCGAAGCGGTACCTATTTATCTACTTGCAATTTCTTGCTTTCGAACTGCTAGGTTGGCAGGAGCTGGAACGAGAGACGGGAGCTCGCTCCGTCATGCGGCACACTCGGGTCTCGAACTGCTGAACTACCGACCTTCCACAGCCTGCAGTCCAGCGTCTTAACCACTTGAGCCACCGCAGCTCCTTAGACTAACCTTAAAGACTAACAAAAATTATGGCCGGTCATGAACTTCCGTGAGTCACTGCTCACTTCCACGGATACCTTTCATGAGCAGTGACTCACAAAAGCTCCTACCCTAGCACGATTTTTGTGAGTCTTTAAAGTGCTACTGGACTCTTTCTCTTTTCTACTTTATTAGGCTGGAAAGTTGTCCACCTGTTAACTTGAGAACTTCTACCTTCTTTTTTCCCAATAGGGTTGTCAGGTCTCCTCGGCCACTACTAGAGGACAGGGCTAGAGGGTACCTAGCTGCAGGTCGGGAAACTCCTGGAGATTTGGGGGTGGAGCCTGGGGAGGACAGGGACCTCAGTGGGGTACCGTGCCATACAGTCCACCCTCCAAAGCAGCCATTTTCTCCAGGGGAACTGAACTCTGTAGTCTGGAGATGCACTGTAATTCTGGAGGATCCCCAGGCCCCAACTGGAGGCTGGCATCCCTGTTTTCCAACAGCCATCACTGGTTCATTTATGAAAACCCCATGGTACGCACACAAATATTCCAACTGCTTAACATCAACCTGTCATCAAATGCTGTTGGCTTTCGATTAGATTATGCTGGGCGGACCATTCAGCAATTTTGTCATCAATCAGATATTCCCAGCTGCATGTGCAGGAGGTGGAGGAGGAGGTGATTGGATTTATACCCCGCCCTTCACTACCCAAGGGAGCCTCAGAGCGGCTTACAAACTCCTTTCCCTTCCCCTCCCCACAACAGACACCCTGTGAGGTAGGTGGGGCTGAGAGAGCTCTTGACAGAAACTGCTCTTTTTCAAGGACAGCTCTTATCAGAACTACGGCTTGTCCAAGGCCATCCAGCCAGGTGCAAGTGGAGGAATGGGGAATCAAACCCAGTTCCCCCAGATTAGAGTCCGCGCACTGAACCACCACACCAAACTGTCACGTGGAAATATTTCCAGCTAAGGAAAGCATGCAGGGGGAAGAGTTAACCCGCTCGTTCTCAATCGCTACATACTCCTCCAGACCCCTCCCTTCTGTGTGGCTTTGGGAAGGGCAGAGGGGGGCTGAGATACTAATGTCCTGCAATCTAAACGTGTACCAGGCCTGCCCCAGTGACCGTGTCCACATGGATCTCCACCAAGGGGGGGGGGGGGTCAAAGACACCTTACGGCAGAGAAGGCCGGTTGTGGGAATGCGTCCCAAATAACAGGACGAACAAAAGAAGATGCCATAAAAAAAGGAAAAGGAAAACAAAACCGGCCAAAGAGAGAGCCTGCCATTCAACTGCCAAGAAGAAACGTGTCAGGCTTGTTCAAAGGCAGTAATATTTCACCGCCCTGTTAAAACTGGGAGCTAATGGGTTCCACATTTTAATGCCAGTCTAATGAGAGGCATGTTACCTTTTGGCTTGTGAACTAAAGATTACATGCTTTGAAAGTGTTTTATCAATATATCTTAAATGGTGTCTGCAGGGTTCCTGCTCTTAAAAAAAGAACCCTAATTTTTTTTTTTTTTGCCCCTTCAAACAAAACAAAACACACACAAAAAATCACACATCGGTATCTCAGAAGGAAAATCAGGAAATGGAAACACATTTCCAACACATCATCTGAGAATACTGTTCGGTTGTCTTTAATTCTCCAGCCAGTCATCCTTCTATGTCCTACATGAGGAAAGCATTAAGAGATCAGAAGAGAAAGAAAGGGGGTTGGTGGTAGGGCGAGCTAGTGGAACTCGTACTGGACACTTTTTCTGATTGAAAGACCCAAAAACTCGTGTATTTCTTGCTGCATCTCTGACAACCAATATGAAAGGTCACCTCGCTCCTCGAGCACATAAAAGCAACCCCGCGACTGGACACTTCCTCAGAGTGCACAAAACATTTCATGCTTAATTTTTAAACATGCCCATTATCCCCCACCCTCACGGACCGAATTCAGTGCGCTCTCGTCGACTTGGCAGCTCTGCGATATACTTTCAGCAACCGACAAATCACATCCACCATTTTGCGGAGCTAAGAGGACCTCGTCGCTGAAATGACAACAGCAAGCCACGGACCAAGTGAGGGAATCTCGAGAGAAGCAAGTTGGCACCCACGTTACAAGAGGATAACATTTCACTCAAGGATGTGGCTAGGGGGTAGAGCATCCGCTTGGCGTGCAGAAGTTCCCAGGTTCGATCCCCGGCATCTCCAGCTAAAAGGTCCAGGCAGTAGATGATGTGAAAGACCTCTGCCTGAGACCCTGGAGAACTGCTGACAGAGTAGGAGCTGTGGCTCGGTGGAAAAGCCACTGCTTGGCGTGCAGAAGTTCCCAGGTTCGATCCCCGGCATCTCCAGCTAAAAGGTCCAAGCAGGAGATGATGTGAATGACCTCTGCCTGTGACCCCGGAGAGCCATTGCCAGTCTGAATAGACAATACTCACTGAGGTTTTCAATACTTTTCATTCTCAGGTACTTCACTTTTTGCAAAATGCGTTCGAGTTTCTACGGGACAATATTTATTTATTTATTTACCTTAGGATGGCCGTGATGCATTACAAAATTTCTGTGCAATGGAGGCTGCAGCCATCGATCTACTGAGTATTATTTGCCCTGTTCTTCATCCAAACAGCTAAGTATCGCCTTCCCATTCCACCATGTTATCCTCATAACAACACTGTTAGGTTGGATCCATCTCTCTCACTCTCTCAACCTAGCCTGATACGCTAACAACTGCAACACACTGAAATTCTCACAATGGAGGGAAATAAGCAGTGGGGTACCACAGGGATTGGTATTGGGGGGGGGGGGGCTATTATTATTTTATTTATTCATAAATGACCTGGAACTAGGGGAAAGTAGTATAGCGATCAAGTTTGCAGATGGCACATTTGGGAAGATCCATTTTTACAGTCATTTGACCTCAAACTGTAACCAAAAAGTTGATATCTTTCCCACCTTATGATTTTAATAGACATATTTTTCTCATAGTTAAGTACACAGTTCTTATTTCTTTTTATTTTGGTTGTATGTCTAGGAGTTTTTATACGTTATGTTCTTCTACCCATTTATAAAACCTTGACCATGTGTCCTCAAATTCTTCTTTGTTATTTCCTCTCAAGATTGAAGTTAAATTGTCCATCTCTACAGCTTCCAATATTTTATTTATAACTTCTTCCTTTGAAGGAGTTTCACTTCTTCTCCCATGTTTAGACTATAATATTCTTGCCGCTGTCACAATATGTATAGTGAGATAAAAATCTTGCTTTTTATAGTTCTCTGGTAATCAATAAAAACAATTCTGGTGTATACGGCACAATAGTTTTTAACATTTTTTGCAAAATTTCATGTATCCAGCTCCAATATTTTTTAACTTTATCACATGTCCACCACATACGAAAAAATGAACCAACATTGCTTTTTACATTTCCAACAATCATTTGGTAGGTTAGGGTAAAATGTAGCTAATTTATCTGGGGTAATATACCATCTATAAAACATCTATGTAAGTCTGTTCAGTCTTTGTCTTATAGGTATGAAATAAAAATTTCAAATTGTTAAAAAAAAAGTTTGCAGATGGAAAAAATTATTCCGGACAGTTGACTGTGAAGAGTTCCAAAAGGACCTATGCAAACTGGGTGAGTAGGCGACAATGTGGCAAATGAAGATCAGTGTTGGTAAGTGTACGGTGATGCACATTGGGACGCCTG